CTCCAGTTGCATAATTTACTAATACAGATGCATGCTTGGCTGGCTGGCAGGATGCTATAGTTCAGTCGTTGAGATTCCGGATACATTGCCAATTGTCCAGCACGCTTTGTTGATCAGCTGCAGACTTTAATAGCTGAAATTTCATACACTTTACTAATCAGGCCACATTCTTTGCTAATTGAGGTGCATATTTTAGTAACTGCATTTTTTAATACTTGACTGGTCTTGGGAAGGATTCTGCTCTCACTCAAGACTATGGCAAAACTCCCACTGGTTTCAATGGGATGGGATCAAGTTCCTAGCTAGAGAGTCTGGGATAGTAAATAACCTCTTTCACTTTTTTAAAATAAAAACTTTTTTTGAATGCAGCAAGTAAATAGCAGTGTGTTTTGGATAAAGAGAGATTTTCTCTTTTAGGATTTTATTAATAGAACTGTACTTCACACTGAATTGGAATTTTGACTGCCTCCTATGTTTGGCTTCAAAGTTATATTTTTCTCCAGGATAAACAATTCATAGACCTGTAGATCTTGTTTCACTTGCTGTAGACAAACAGAAACAATAATCTCCCACCACTTCTTCAGTTTCTCCTTCATTTGATTTTTAGATCTATTTTTTTACTTGTTAATGTAGTGCTTCATTCGCATTCCTGGAGATAAAGTTCTATTTACCCACAAACCAGACACAGACTTCAAACAGTCCCAGCTCCTCCACATGAGCTTCCCAATGTGTCTCAGCTCTGACCTGAAATACAGACCACCTCCAGGGGTGAAAGGGCAGTTCAGTCTCTCTGGTTCACACAATACTTGACCTCTGTACTGAAACCAACAAGGGGGCCAGTTAGTGTCAATTTTGGATACAATTTTTAATTATGCAAACTAGATGCCACCTAACAATTCATTTGGAGCAGGCCATAATACAATTTCCAGATGGCAAGAGTTTTTTACTCTGCTAACCTGGTTAGGATTTGAACTATCAGCTTAGAGGGAAACTACAAGTCCCACTCTTTAAGAATCAGAATCCAGACAAATAGGATAAAACCAATAAGACTTCCAGTTTCAGGACCATAATACAATCCTTGATAATACCAAGCAAGCTCAGCCTGCTTCACATAAACACATGTTGTAAGACAGTTTTCAAAGGCCTGTCTTGAGATGTCATTACAGGATGCCTGCAGAGGTTAGTGAGACTTAAAAAAAAAAGCATAGAGATCATGCTGAAGAAAATTGTTCTGTGACTGTATTTAGTGTGCTACCATAAAAAAGGCAGCTTCTTTAAAAGTCAGTACATAGCTAAGCTAACCATCTTAAAAGAAACCAATCAAACTGATAGATTTCAATGTGCGTGAACATTGACCTGCAAAGCTATTTTGCATCCACCAAAACATACAGCTTAAACAAACATTCCTCCATGTCCGACCCACATGCATGTAACTCAGCTAACACCAATTCCATCTAACTATACGGAAGAAATTACAATGCCAAACTAGTTCAGGAGTATCTAAAAAAATCAGGCATCTTGTGAATTACACAGCTGGACAAAGAATGTATCTATCCACATTAAGAAAACAAATAATACTCTACCTACCTTTTTAGTAAATGACGCAATTCCATATGAAGTGTTCCCAGTCAATTTTTACAAGATAACTACCACACATTAATTATCTTGCTATAAAAAGGGTGTAGAGACAAAGTATTGTAGCTTTTACAACAAAGTAATTATGCAAGGTCAAGCTATACTCTCCCACCCATGGTAAATCAGGCAAGGTCAGTCCTATAGTAAAATTACAGTATCTTATCTCTACCAGGATTTTATAGTAGGATACCTAACTTGTGTTAATTATCCTACATTTAAAAAACAGAATAGTTTAAGTAGTAAAGACAGAGCTTTACATGCAACTTTTCTTATAACAAAGTATCTGGGGCAAAGAATAAAAATTCCATACTATACTTCACACTTTTCTCGGCACCATTAACAATTGTTCCAAAAGGATTTGATTCTGCGCCTATTGAAGTCAATGGCAAAAATCTTGTTGACTTCAGTGGGACCAGGATTGTCTATTACTGCATTTAAATGGTTAGTGATCATCATTTTTTGACCATGTGAGAGTACATTGAAAAGGGAATATATATATATTCAAGCTGATGATTTTCTGGTCTTACCTATTTAATATAACCCATCTTACACCTATGTCCCTTTAGGGAAAGCACCATACACAGCCATTTATTGTTTAAATCCTAGACATATTCTGGATTACACACACATTTAAGTAATAATAGATGGTAAGGCAAGTTTTTACACCAGGCTACCCACATGTCTCAAGCACTTTATAAAACATTAAATCAAAGGGGAGGTTCTCTAGTAGACTTCATTTCATGTTATTGCATTTGTATGTTTGGATCTATGTTTTGGTAACTATAAAGGAATGGGCACAAGCAATACTCTCACAATCATGAGTCTGCATTAATAAAATTATTTTTTCTGATCCATTTTATAGACAGTGTATTATCACAACTGAGGATCTCTTCTCTCCAAATCATCTTCAAAGGACAGATAAGGGGAAACCATATGAAACATCCGAATCTTTAGCTTTAGATTTTGTATACCTGCAAGTTTTTTCCAGTTACATTTACTACTATTCTAATTATAATGAAACCATTTTAATTTCTGCATATGGTTGCACATATTGCACAATACAAGCAGCTTTTGATAATTCAGCGTAAGCATATTCCCAAGTGACAAGTTAAATTGGAAAGAGATTCAGCACTCTTATTTTAGAATAACTCCTCACAGGAAGTTACACAGGTGTAACTATGGCAGTTTACCCTATACCCAATCATATCCTATTAGCTACTCTCCATGTAAACACACCCTTTCTGTTTCCTGCACATTGCCTGGTAAGGCACAAATATGGAAAAGGAATACAAAAATGAATACAAGATACTTTATATTAGGGCCCAGGGATTACTTTTCCTTCATATACATTGTGCCTTCTACAATCTCAATTTTCACCACTCAGCATTTCTGAGGCCCATAATTCAGACATAAAAGCAAGACACTACAAGCTAGATGTGGGTCTGGGCAAATTTGGATATAAAACAATAAACTATTGAGCATGATAATAATAGTCACAGCAGAAAATCCACAGCAGCAACCCACATAATAGGTAAAATCTTTGGGACAAGGGCTTTAGCTTTTTATTTTTCTGTAGAGCTCCAAGCATGTTTTGGGCACTACAGTTATACAACAAAGCAGAGACATAAAAAAATTATAAAAATTAACCAGAAAAAAGAAATAATGTAGTACAGTGATTTAAACAAGTCTTTGGCTCAATGCTGAGCCTTGCTATGACCCCTTTGTTCTGCCCCGGCAATCCTTGGTTGGCAGATTAGTCCATTGGGTAGTTTAGAGGTGATTTAGCCTCCTGCTGCTCTAAGCATCAGCAAGACATATCTGACTCTTGTGTGGCATGCTCACCTCAGCAGCACAAGCTCTTGCAGTCAGAACACTAACCTTCCAGTTCCGTCTCTGTCACACTTGTGTAACTGGGGATTAAGTACAGCAATAGAGGGCAACCTGTGGCCCATCGGGGTTCTATGCGTGGCCTGTGGTGTAAGACATTTTGTTTACAGTTGCCCATTTGAAGTGAGGCCAAATTCCACTGGTTTCCATCCACATAGGTTTTTTCCTACTAAAGTAACATACACACAAAGCAGGGGAACATAAAATGAGTTGCATGCTGATTGCACACTACATTGCCTAGGAAAGCCCTGCACTCTTTCTGCATCTAATTTAAGCGTTGCTATGGTTCAGTGGGGATACCCTGCAAATTCTAGGTACACAAGTGCAGTTAGCAAAATGACCCTAGCCTGGGAGACTATTTTGGTTAGAACAATCTTGAGCCCACTAAGATTGAGGGCTACTCACTAGCCTAGGTTGCCCATTACTGATGTACAGCTTCTCTACCTCAGGTCCCTCATCTCTACAATGGGGATAACAACACCTGGTGCCATTCCAAAGGATTAGTAGCTTCAGGAGTAGCCAAGTTAGTCTGTACAGGATAAACATAAAAAACAACAAATGGTCTGGTATCACTTTATAGACTAACAAAACATGTAGATGGTATCATGAGCTTGATGATGGGAGTTTTCTCAGATGTTTTCAGATGAATTCTGATCATCCATAGAAGTGGGCTGTCCCCAGGAAAGCTCATAATACCATCTATATGTTTTGTTAATCTATAAAATGCTACCAGACCGTTTGTGTTTTCAAAGGATTAGTGTTAGCTGAGCCCTTGGAAAATATGAACTATTTTATACCTATAGTGTGATCATTAGCTTATCCACTACGGGGACATGTACTTGGCATGACTTTTGTCTCTCAAGGGCTCATAAGACACAGCCAAGAGCTCTCGGTCACTTTCAGAACTAATTAATTGGCTCCAGCAGTACACTGTCATCTTACCAGTGCCTCCTACTGAGCACTAATCGGGTTTCCAGACACTGCGCTGGCTGCCAGGTGCGAAAAGCCTGTTAGATCTGGATGTGGCCGCGACTTAATTAAGAAGAAAAAAAGTCAATGACCAGAGAGACTTGTGTCCCGAAAGAACTTTTCCCACCTCGCCGCGCAGTTCACTCCGAGGCAAGGAGACGGCGTGGGGTATGTGGAAGAAGAGACTGGTGTCATTACTGTAGAGGGAAGAGGGGAAATGTGGCCCATCGGTGACAAAGCGGGGGCCAGACTCTCTCCACCCCTTACCCATTTACAAATCAAAGCGCCCACCAACCTACCCAGCCCCTTTAAAAACAACCTCCGCCAGACACACACGAGCAACCACACCTGTCCATGCACCCTCCTCTTCTAGCCAAACCAGCTCCTCCGCACACAAACCCACTACCTCCCCAGCTGTACGGCAGCCGCAAGGGTGTCCCCAAAGTCTGGGGGAAAGGGGAGCATGGCAGACCCGTAGTGGCGGGCGGGGAAAGAGCAACCCCGTTTACCTTGCCTTTGGCCCCACATAAGCAAAGCGCTGCTGCTGTCAGGAAGAACCACCTCGAGCTGTACTGGGCGAAAGTTTTATCCATGCTGACTGGCTGTGGATGCTCTGAGCGCTGCGCTGCGTTGCGTGTTGTGCCCTGGCTGCAGCAAGCGAAGGCTTGAGCAGCTGTTCCTAATACCTACTCCCCCCCTCCCCGGACTTCCCTGCCTTCCCTCCCTGCCTCTGTCCCACTCGTAAACGCCCTCCCTCCTCCTGCATATTACTGCTGCCCTCCCCCCGCTCCTCCAGGGAGTCACCTGCGGGAGGGGTGGAAGCAGGCAGGGGGTGTGTATAGGGCAAAAGACTGGTCCAAGTCTTGCATTTTTCGCCCCACGCACTGTGCTCTCCAAAGTAGAGAGAGACAAAACCGAATTTAGATCTGAAAAAAAATCCGCGTGATTTTTCAAGCTCTGGGAGGGAATCGGGGAGGCTGCTGAGGATGAAAGCAGGGAATGAGGGGAGAGAGGGGGAAGAAAGACGTGTGTGAGAGAAAGACGCAGAAAAGATGCTCTGCTGTCTCTCCCATCACCTTGATAAGCTGGCGGTTCTTTGGGAGTAATTTAACTGACAGTGGAGGTGGGAGAAGGTAGGATAACCATATATCAAATGTGAAAAAAGGGGCATGGTACCTAAAGAAGTCAAAGCCCCAAATACTGGGACTGTCCTTATAAAATCAGAACAATTAGGGGGCTGTATCATATGACCTACCAGAAGCGGCTGAGAGATTTGGGCTTGTTTAGTCTACAGGAGAGTGAGAAACAACAATGATTAGGGGGCTGAAGCACATGACTTATGAGGAGAGGCTGAGGCATTTGGTCTTATTTAGTCTACAGAAGAGCGGCTTCTGTAGTGAGGGGGGATTTGATAACAACCTTTAACTACCTAAAGGGAGGTTCCAAAGAGGATGGAGAGAAGCTGTTCACAGTAGTGACAGATGTCAGAACAAGGAGCAATGGTCTCAAGTTGCAGCGGGGGAAGGTCTAGATTGGACATTAGGAAAAACTATTGCCTTAAGAGGGTGGTGAATCACTGGAATGGGTTACCTAGGGAGGTGATGGAATCTCCATCCCTAGAAGATTTTAAGTTTCGGCTGGACAAAGCCTTGGCTGGGATGATTTAGTTGGGCTTGGGGTTGGTCCGAAGCCCCCAGATGCTGCCTCTTCTACATAGGTCAGAGTGCCAGGCTCTTTAAATCACTGGCAGCGCCTTAGGCCACATGTGCCCTGTGGTCCTGATGGTGCTAGAGGACGGGCTGGGGGATGGATGCTAGCCTGTAGCCCCACTCCTTCCACTGAAAGTCTGGGGACTCAGAGCTGGCCCATCAAGGTCTCTGTCAGCCCTGGGGGCTGGAGGTGCCACAAGAATCCCATTGTGCTAGCTACTGTACATACATAAAATAAAACATTAGTCGCAGTCTCCAGGAGCTTACAATCAACTATATATTGGAGTTTGTCCATTTGTCTGCTTTGTCTGCTTGTTCAAGAACTCCCTCTAAATATTAAGAACTAGGATAATCACATTCTATGTACAGTTTCCCTTCATCATAACTTAAAGCAAGGTCAGGGTTTGGTTGTGTCAGGGAAACAGGATGTGCCTGGAATGAGATTTTTCTGTATGCTTTTTATGAGAAGCAGAGATAGAATCACCAGACAGGTAAAAGGGTGCAGTGCCCCCCACATTCATAGAGCAGCAGTTCCCAACCTTTTCCAGATGGGGACACATTTTGACAATTCAGAAAGACTTGGTGACCCAGGGCAATTCAAAAAATGTGTGAATGGCTCCTTGAAAGCAACCAGGGGAGATAACTGGTGACCCTTTTGAAAGGTAATGGAGACCCATATTTGAGTCCCGACCCATAGGTTGGGAAACCCTGTTCATAGAGGGACACTGTGGGCTGTTCCCCTTTGACACAGAGTGAGGGGTAGTGTTTTCTCCATTTGCATTCTACTGGATTGTGCTGCCTCCCAGAGGAGGAGTGGGAAGTTGCATTTGTTGGTATCCAGATACTTTGTTAGCATAGTAGCAACAACTTAATAGATAAATAAGTTTGCCTGCCTGCCTACCTTAAGACTGGCAATTGCAAATAACACCCAGTCCGCAAGACTTTTCCATTCAGAGAATTGTCACTGTTTTATTTTTAGAAAGTCTCTATGAAAACCAGTATTTTGGTTTCTGAGCTAAGATGTTGTCAGTCATTTATTGCAGATCCACACTGGTTTATGTTTTAATTTTAGATCTTGCTCTTCTTGTAGACTAGTCCATGAATTGTCTGTCACAATGTATTGTATTACTGTGTAGGACCTATTCTGGATAAATACACTTCCAGTCAATTGGAAGTCTTGCAGTATATTTTTTACCACAGTGCTCTCTGGCTCAAAGCATACTCTGATGTTTATAATGTAAGAGTGAGATTCATTGCTTTTCTAACACTCTCAGTTAAGTCCCTGATTTCAACATAAATATATGTTAAGCTTTCAAAAATCCCTCAAACAAGGAATATATTATTTCCCACAAAGGCTCAGTATGACAGAAGTAAATAAAGAGATTCAGTCTGGTGCTTTCTTATGCTATGGTTGCTGAGGATGTAAGTCAAGAGCTAGCAGAAAGGGGTATTAGAACAATTACTTTTCTTTATTTTGACTGGACTGGAATATTATAAAACTAACTAAAGGAAAGGGAGAGAACATGCCCAAGTCTAGCTCTTTTTAAGGATCTTACTTCCTTGTTAGTTGGATTCCTTTCCAAAGGTCATCTGAGTGCAGGCACCCTTAATCCTTTTAAGGCAAGTAGGCTGCCATGTGGACTGTGCTATAGTTCCAGACAGTAGACCTCTAGCATGTACCACAAAGAAACATGGGTTGCTTTCTTGAGCAAGCTGTATTCAAACCTAGCTACTCCTCCATTCACTTCAGAGTTTCTTTGCTCTTTTCAACATCCCTCTGCAGCACAGATGTCTCCTTTGTGGTTTGTAATGTTACTTCCTAATTACTAACTAGTCAGAATTACAAATCTGAAGATACACAAATCAATTTGTAAATAGTTTCACCCAGGGCTGTTGAATCTCTAAAGATTTTCTTTTTATTCTCAACTTTATGAACTCCCCCTCCTCATATAACAGAATGTTAGGTGTGCACAGTATCCACACTTAAACATCCTCCTTAGCACTCCTACTGCAAGTTGTCCCATGAGAGTAAAGTCACTGGGCCTCCAGATGTACAGTGGGACTCCAGAATGCCTTCCATGAAGAATAGTTTATAACAATAAGTCTTAAAATTCATCTACTGTACCCAACATTCCTTATAAACTGTGTGCTTATGCAACCACTCAGGAGAGATTCAGATAACACCTAGATGATTAGCAGAGTGCTCCCAGCTAGGTTTTTTGTTTCCACTGGTGGTACACTGTCACATGGGAACTTTGACTGAAACTCACTACCTAATAAAAGTAATTTGCTATCTACTCTGGCTTCCCATTGACTACTGAGTCATAATGTATGCTCCATGTTCATTATGAAACCTCTTCACTCAACTGGCCTCAATTACTTAAGAAATCATCTTTCCTAGGAAGAACATAAGTACCCATGACAGCAACGTTTCACTGGAACAAGGGCGTTTTGTCAGCTTCAAGACACACATACATGTAGCCAGACAGCCTCAACAATTGGTCCACAACTTTGAAATTAACTTTAAAAGATATTAGAATGATTACAAACAGTAAACTAGTACTCACAGAATAAAATGTAAAAACTCTCTATTGTGAGAAGGCAAGGCCAAATAATAGTTTTAAAAAATGATATATGGCCTTGGTTAAGGAGACAGAACTTTGCAAGTTTACTCCTTTAGATATGTAAGGCATTCAGAAGAAATGGTCATAATGATTGATCATGATTGATTGATGTGAAGTTAACAAATTGATTTTTATTTTCTATGTTTAGTACAAAATAAATGTTTTCTCCTTAGTGAGTTGTAATGGGGAACTGGATGCCTGAGGCTGAATACAGCATACCAGGCTGGTTAGTTATTTAACCATTTGTGCTTTGTGTGTGGCCATTGCAGTTTTAAAAAAATAAATGAAGAAAAAGTTCTTGGAGCCTGAATAGAACCAAGTAAGAGGAACTGTAAGGGGGAGGAGGGGAGAGGATCTAACAAGCTCAGGAAACTGCAGCATGCATATAGTATTGTTGATGGTGGTTAGAGAACAAGGACTGTTAAGATAATTAGGAAAGCAAATCCACTTCTGTAACTGGAAAATAGGCACATCTGTTGTACTGTACACAGAGAGCCACCTCCTGGCTCTGAGGAGTACATAGTTTTTCCACTGCATGTGTTTTATCTTTTTTGCTAAGGAGCTGGGTGAAAATGAAATGTTGATGATCTTCAGTCCTATGAGACTCATAGCTACGGCCAAATGTAAACTGTTTATCATCCAGGGTCTGTCACTTGGAAGATCTCACATTCCCTTCTTTACTAGTGCATTTTGAGGGTACAGTAGACTTCCGATAATCCGGAACCTATGGGACCTAGGTGGTGCTGGATTATCAGATATGCCGGACTATCAGGAGGTATTATAAACTGGTTATATATATACTGTATACAGTATATACTGTATACAGTATATACTGTATACAGTATATACTGTATACAGTATATACTGTATACAGTATATACTGTATACAGTATACTGTAATGTTTTAGTTTTTTTAAGCCTTTTTTACCCTTTTTGCTCAGTTCTGCTGCTGCTGCTGTTACCTTGTGACTCTTTTTTTGCCGAAACTCACTCACTAGGCTCTTGCCATTTTGATGCCGGACTATCAGGAGTGCCAGACTATTAGATGCCGGACTATTGGAGTTTTACTGTACATACAAAAAAAGTTATGGTGCAAATATCTTCAGACAGATTGCATCTTAAATTGCTTTACGTGGTTTAAATATGTTTATAGACTTAGGCTGCAACCCTGCAAAGATTAACTCATGTAAGTAGTCCTACTGAATTTACAGGGTGAATGCCTTAATAGGGAGGAACAAGCAAATAGTAAGTAAAGAAGAGATGTTTTCAACTGAGATTACTGTAGTGAGTTTGGAATCTGCAGCCTCTCTAAACTCTGATCTATACTAGGGAGTTATTTCG